ACACACACACACACACACACACACACACACACACACACACACACACACACACACACACACACACACAGTTACTTCAAAGTACAAGGTACTAGTAATTAGGGCTGCATGATTTAGGGAAAATCTAATTATGATTGCAATGGGGAAAAAACAACAAATAAAAAATAGCAACAACAATAATATTAATAATAATGATGATGATGATAATAATAATTATTATTATTATTATTGTCTTTATTATGATTATTATTACTTAATCAAATTAAGTTAAGTTATTAAAACAAATAAAAATTACTACAATTTATATAAAAAAAATCACTATTCTCTTTTGTTGACAACAGCTGGTTTAGAAGTGCTTATAATTACAAGTTTGAAAAAAAAAAATAGTTTATTTAATCCTTTGCTTTGATTCCAGTTTTATTTGCGATTAATCATACAGCCCTATTAGTAATATAAAGCAGGAAAAATAGTCAAGGTCCTCTCATTTCTATATCAGAGCTAAAACAGTGTTGACCGGCAGCATTTAATGACATATACTGATTAAAAAAGAAAGACAAGAATTAAAGAATCTTTGTTTCTGAACAGGTTCAACTCAATGAACTGTCCAAACAAACAGATTCACTCAAATGAATCAGAGAGAGCGAGTGTGTTACTATCTGAGACGCATTTAAATCATGTATGTTGTGTTACCCTTTGGAGGACGGTCCAGACGGCACGCTCAGGGTCTTCTGCAGGTTGAACTTTCCTCCGGCGATGCTGTCGGCCGACTGAGACAGACTGATGCTGCGGTTCCGGAAGAACTCGAAGCCCCCCGTGGAGCTCTGCTCCTGCAACACACACACACACACACACACATCAGCACAGGATCTTCAACACAGCATCTCAGCCTCACACACCATCATCATCATCATCATCTCACCTGAGTGGTAGGTGTGCTGGGCGGAGTCTCGCTCTCCCCTGAACCAATGGCCTTCAGGAAGCGGATCATGTGACGACACAGATCCCATTTGCCCTGTTCCAGAGCCGTGTTGAAGAGCAGAGTGGCGTGTTGACGGCTGACCGCCGGGACCTCCATATTCTGAGAGCAAAACATACAAATAATATAAATATATTTAATCAGATACCCCCTCCTTCCTTTTCTAACTGACTGACATCTTCCATTATCATCAGGGTTTTAAAAAATCAGGGTTTAGAAATGCATGACCGTTCCACGAGTTCATTCAGAAATGATATTTTATTACTAGAAATTACAAATGAATTATTATTACAATTGTTATTAGAAATGCTAATTTTATTATACAAAATATTTCAATTATCAACACAAATGTGAGTGTGAGAGCAAAATACATAAACGATATCCTCCACACTACAAAATCAACTGGGCAGAAATAACGTATGTCACATATTTTGATCAGATCAGACAAGCCTTAAAATTGAGTTTTTAACTGGTTCAACAAGCTACATATAATGATATATGAGATAATGAAGCCACTACTGGAATGGAAGAATCTCTATTTTCTGAATCAATTCAATTGAATGAACTGTCCAAACAAACTGATTCACTAAAATGACTGCTACTTCTGCAAGCTAATATTCAGTTTATGTCAGATATCAAGTAATTTAAGCTTAAATCTAGCATTTCAAGTGCTTTTATGAGCTCATATTCATTCACAAAAATTCATACAATTTTTTGTAAGATTGCATATTTTCATACATATTTTTAGAATTTTACTTGTAACATGTAACATTATTTGAATTTGTTAGAATCATTTAAAGTAGGTTAAACTACTGAAGATGGAAAAGAAGAATATACATAAAAACTAAATATAAAATGATTGATTTAAAGAGGTTGATTATGTACACTAGTCAACATTTGAAGTGGATCAAAACCTTTCATCAAAAAGATGTCCTAAAACCAAAATGTATTGTCTTAGGACAACTTTGATGAACTTTTTTGATCCGCTTCAAATGTTGACTACTGTATTTCGAAAACAACGAATTTTACATTTACTGCAAACTATGCACATTTAACATACAAATATTTTTACAAGTCAGACATGTAGCAATTTAAGCTTAAATCCTAGCATTTTCGAGAGTTGATATTCATTCGTTAAAATTCATACACATTTGTATGAATTCTGCAACATTTTAATTTATTTGTTACACCACAGAACCACTTAAAGTGGGTTAAACTACTGAAGACGGAAAAGAAAAGACTGTAAATGTGACCCTGCAGCACAAAAGCAGTCATAAGTAGCACAGGTATATTTCAGGGGTTAAAGCAAAAAAAATCCTGAGCCTGAACTTTTTTCTGGGGGCGGGTCGGGGCAGCACATGCAAAGCATGCAATGATTGTGGCAACTTTAACATTTGAAAGGATACTATGGCAAAGTTATCGCTTTCTTTATTCAAACTGATTTATTTTTTCATGAATATATGGTTGAGCTGAAGAATGAAAGCATACACTTGGAAAATTATGAGCTATATCACCGCTTATCGACACTAGGGGTGTGACAACACACTTAGCTCACGAGATGAGACGAAATACAGATACTAGGTTCACTAGAACGTGACAATATTTTAATACTATTTTTAAGAAATTTTCAATGACAAAATTATGTATTAAAACGAATACCTGCAGAGGACGCCAACGGCCTGGTGACGTTTCACTTTACAGCGTGATTAAATCCATTTAATTTAAATATTTGGCCACATGCAAAAACTTTATTTTGAAATCGCGATGTACAATACTACATGGCATATTTAGACATAGGTTGATGTATTCTGCTGTGTTGGCAAAGGTTTATAAATGATTTACGTTACAAATCTAGTGAGATAATGCACACTGTTTTCCCAGATGAACGTTAAGCAATTCAAATTCACAGCATATACGGAGGAAGAGTTTAGCCCCTTTCACACATACAGTACTGGTAAATTACCGGTAAGTTACCATTAATAGATAATGAGAACAGGACCTTTTCAAAAATACCGGTAAATTTGTTCTGGCAATCATATCGTTTTATGGAGATGACATGATTACTCTGAGCAGTTTACAAAGCTCTGACCTTTGCGCCTTGCAGCTTTAAAAAAAATGGACCCTTATGACAGGTTTTGTGGTCCTGGGTCACATATTAGGTGAAATATCTTCAGGTCAGTTCTAAATAAACATGCATTTTGCATGATCCCTCTTATTTTGGTAAAATAATTAACATTTTGCAGATTCCGCAAGGTGCATGTAAACTTTTGACCTCAACTGTACATCAAGCATGTTGTAGATGTTTTTGTTTCTCACCTGCAGGATGATCAGGTAGGATGCAGCCGTGTCCAGATCCTGTGCCATCAGACACTCCTCGAACAGGTCTTTGGGGTTCCCCACCGCGGCGAACAGGTAGTTCCACAGAGCGTATTCGGTCTTGCGTGCGCAGTGCACGATGGTCTGCAGGAAGAGCGGGAACTCGGTCACGAACTTGGCTACGGTGGGCAGCAGCGGGTCGGGGATGGGCTCTCGGGACGTGGCCTCCTCCTCCAGCACCACATGCACCATCAGCTCCAGAACGTGAGGGAAGTACGGCAGCATCGCGCAAGACTGCGCCAGCATCAGCGCCTGCTCGCCCAGGTTACGCACCAGCAGCTGTCTCAGGATGTGATGGAGGTAGATCTGGGACGTCCGCTCCACCGTGCAGAAGGGAAAGAGCGCCTCCAGCGAGGACGAGCTGGGCCCGTCGAACAGCGCCGTCTCGTTGGAGGCGCCCAGGATGAGCGCGTCCTCAAACAGCACCGTGAGTGGGTAGATGTTGATGTGGAAGGGCAGCATGATCCGGCGTGACAGGAACGAGTGCGGCTTGCGGTGGTCTCGCGGGAACAGAGGAAGCCACACCTTCATCCCCGCCTCACCGCATGAGAGCCACAGAGCCTCCATCAGGTGGCGTTTCTTGCGGTTGCTGCGGCAGGTGGTCCAGACGTTCTCCACGCACTGAGCCAGAACCACCGGTGGACAGAACGGAAGCTGCCGGAAAGAGTGCAAATCATAGACTGACATTCATAGAGTGCAACAGTGATGCTACAGAGCTGCTATGCGGTTGCTAGGGGGCTTAAGTGGTTGCTATACATTACGACACTTAAAAACATTAACAACAACAAAGTGTCAAATTTGCGAAACGGTGTAACGATCTGTTGAACATTACGTAATTTGAGTTACTACCTCTGTACCTTTTGTTTTACGTTTTAGTTTTTTTGTTTTTAATATATATCCTTTGATGTCTTCCTGTATTATTTCATTTATACATAGTCATCCAATGTTGTATTTAATTGCTGTAGTTATTCTTGTTTATATCTGCAATAAAATAATAATAATAATAAAAAAAATAAGTGGTTGCACTGCAAAAAATGATTTTCTTAGTAGTTTTGTCTTGTTTTCTAGTATAAATGTCTAAAAATTCTTCAGTCAAGATGCATTTATTTGACAAGTAAAATGATTTAAGATATTATGTCTTGTTTTCTGAAAAATATTTGTTAGTTTTTGCTTAAAACAAGCAAAAATTTCTGCCAATGGGGTAAGAAAAATTATCTTGTTTAGCCTTTGAATTAAGATTATTTTTCTTAGCAGATATGTTTGCTTGTTTTAAGCAAAAACTAACAAAATTTAGATTTTTTTCCCCAGAAACCAAGACATAATATCTTAAATCATTTTACTTGTCAAGTAAATGCATCTTGATTTGAAGAATTTTTAGATGTTTAAGAAACTAGAAAACAAGAATGACAATCTAATAAAAAAATTATGGATAAATATAAAACAAAATAAAATAGTTTAAGAAGTAATGATAAATAAAAATAAACATAAAAAAATTATATAAAACTATTGATTTGTTCATCATGCATTTTAATATTGAAATTATATAAATATAATTTGTATATATATAAATATGGTTTAAAGTATATTTAAATTATATAGATCATATACATTTATCCCCTGCTTTAACTTAAATAAAAGATTTTAGAGTGCAGACCAATCTTTGTAAAAATTTGTATAAATTATAAACTATACAAAAAATAAATAATAAAGTCAATATTTAAAGAGAGTTTGAGAGCACACAGTAGCTCTGTCTTTAATGGTTTGAGTGTTATTGGTAAAAATCAGTCCCTCTATGGAGAAAATGAATGGGATTTTTACTTCCGTAACCCAAGCACTCTATGGGATCGGGGTAAGGGTCGGGGCATCAAACTCACCAGCTTCGTCTGATTGGCCGGCGTGTCCTTCTCTCGTACCTGTGGGCCGGATCGGTCTCTCTGCAGCATGATCAGCTGACCGGCCAAATTCAACAGGATACTCTCCGCCGAACAGGCCTGGCACAAACACAGACGCCTCATGAGTACATATACAGTGGGTACGGAAAGTATTCAGACCCCCTTAAATTTTTCACTCTTTGTTATATTGTGTCTGTGTGTGTGTGTGTGTGCGCATGTACTCTGTGTCTGTCTGTGTGTGTGTGTGTGTGTGTGTGTGTGTGTGCGCATGTACTCTGTGTGTGTGTGTGTGTGTGTGTGTGTGTGTGTGTGTGTGTGTGCGCGTGTACCTGCTGCGGGGCTTTGAGCGTGATGCCGGTCTCTGTCCGGACTGACGTGAGGGTCACAGACACCACCAGACCGGGGTGAGGAATATACCGGGACATGGAGACCTCCTGCAGCAGCTCCACACTGACTGACGGGTTCGGACTGATGACAGAGAACAATCAAGAAATGTTAATAATAAATACAAGATACATCCATCCATCTTCCAAACCGCTCGTCCTATATGAGGAACATGAAGCCGTCTGAGTCATATACAGTGGTGGCCAAAATTGTTAGAACACTTGGCATATTTACGAGGTTTCCATTGTTTTTGTTGAATTGGCCATTACAATACTCATAAAACAAACTATTGCCGGAACTACCTGCGACAGAAGAAATCTGCTGAACACTGAAAATAATGGACTGGCCCCTCAAAGTCCAGACCTCAACCCCATCGAGCTAATTTGGGGCGAGTTGGAAAATAAACTGGGCAGATCTATTGTACATTCAAAAGAGGGTTGAGTTGCAGAAGGCATGGGATAACATTAAGTTCTCAGGAAATGACACTATGCCAAGAGAGATGTGATGCTGTAATTGCTGCAAAAGGTGGACATACCAAATATTAAAGTTAAAGGTGGATAAAAACTATACGACTCTCTTCATCTGATATTTGCTGTGCTCAGAGCAACCATCTGCATGTTTCATGAACATTATGAAATGAAATCATGTTTTGGAGGCAAAAAAAGTCTGTATTTTCAGATCTGTCAGGTGTTCTAATAATTTTGGCCACCACTGTATATGAAGCACCAAACTTGAAATAGAATTAAGCAAATCATTCAAATCAGATACTCTCCATCATTATTTCTATTGGCTAGAATCTTCAATTACCATAAAAAAGCTTAGTTTAAAAAAGTTTTAAAAAACATGATTGATGCATTAGCTCATTCAGAAGAGAAAAGAGACATTAGGAAATGCTATTTATTACTATAAAAATAAAAATAAACTCATTTTTATAACAAACATTTAAAAAAATTAAACAAAAAAATTAAAATAAAAACAAACAATTAACATGCATAGAGACACATTTGGAAATGTTTATTATTAAAAAAAGAAAACAAAAATAACATGCATATACATGAAGACAAATTTGAAATCCTGAATTGTGTGTATATTGTTGCATGTGCGTAAAAAGCAAAAACACTAACAATCGGAAAAGTATATAATCTGTAAATGAAAATTAATTTATTAATTTAATAATTTAAATGTAGCACTAGTTTTATGAAAGTGAATGTTATGACACGGTTTAATAACGATTGTTGTGTTTTTATGGATTATTACAAAATAAACAATTAGGTATAATCACTGATTATCTATTTAATTATTGTTGCTCCATATTATGTGTGTGTGTGTGTGTGTGTGTGTGTGTGTCACCCGTCGTGTCGTCTCTCGATGCTGTAAAGGCAGATGGAGCAGTCGGCCCGGAACAGAATCACCACGTTACGAAACACGTTCAGCAGCAGCGTGTCGGCCTGAAGTTTAGTGACGCTGGCAAACACGTTATCCAGGTTAGATGTGCGCACGTATAGCCTCAGCTACAAACCAAGAAAAACAGGAGTCAATTAAGGGCAGACACTGCAGGCAAAAACACTCTTTTTTCATGCACCTGTCAAGTTTGAGATTTTGGGCTTTTTGTTTTTTAGTGACTAGTGGAAAGAAAACATCCAAAAGACACTTAAATGTTTCTTTTATAGCACTTGATCGATGTGTGTCAATAGATTTCAATTACAATATATATTTTTCTCAAAGTGAGTTTTTCTCCTACACCGAGCCATAAACCTCCTCTTGAGTAGCACTTACACACACCAAACTTTACATTTTTATACCTATAGTCTATTTCCTGAAGGTTTTTACAGAGGGATCTGTTCATATATTATTTGCTTGCTTATATACAACATTTTATTTCCCCCAAAATTGTGAAAATATATTGTTTTCTGTCTGTTCTAAGCTTTTTCTGAATTATGACAAAAATTAGATTAAAAAAAATTAAGCAAGAATTTTGAAACTGACATCATCCAGTGTTTAGATTTTTGTACTAGATATGTATGCAAATTAGCGCATATATTTCATTAAATCATGCCTCATTTGCATATTTAAACCTAACATTTGAGAAAACTTGTAATACAAAAAATGTTTGCAATTATCAATGTAATCAATCAAGTGGGTAAGGAAGACAATAACTATTAGTTAATTTTTTTTTACCCTATTCACCTACAGTGTCTCGCCTAAACGATGAACATTCAATTAACACTAATGAATCAGAGGAATGTTTATTTAATCGTTCTTGCCTCTTCCTGCCGGTCAATGAAATTGTAACAGGCAACAACAACAAAGTCGTCCCACCACGTGAGACCTCCCGTCACCATCATATTCTGCTCCTGAAACACACACATAATGTCAGAAAGCTTCCATCACACAACTTACTTTCCTTTCAAATGAAAAGACGGTGATGTAGGCGTGTTTACCTGTGTGACGTTACCAAACAGTTTCCATTTTCTGGTGTATAATGAGTAATGTGCAAATCCACGCCGGCCAGCTACGGCCACACACTGACCAGACCAGTCTATAGCTGCGAACTACACACACACAAAGATTAAACGACTCGTTTCATTAAAAACTGGGTTTCTGGACCCAATTGGAACATTTATTGAAATGCTCATTAACATACGCCCACCCACATTTACATATCATCACATATTCACTACACGGCAACATCACCAGCACTGCTGATTGACAAAGTGAACTACACTAGTAGGGGTTAACCAATCAAAAAAAGAGGTCATTTACATATACAAGTCTTAAAGGTACAGCAGCATCAGTGTGTTTGAGTCGGAGAGGATGAAGAAATAGTTAACAGAAACTAAATTGTAAGACAAGATAGCTTTACTAACATACAAAGACCTAAAGAAATTGTTCACACAAAAATTTGCTAAAAACTCATCTACATGATGGATGGCAGTCAATGGGTGCCGTCAGAATGAGAGTCCAAACAGCTGATAAAAACATCACAATAATCCACAGCACTCCAGTCCCCAATTTACAGCCAATGCTCATTTTTAAGCTGAACTATTCCTTTAAGAGTTGGTTCTTACCCTGATGGGCCAGTTTGTCTCTAGATATGTGCTGTGAATCTGCAGGGAGAGGAAAAACACAGTGATGCACTTTGTATTCTCTACAGTGAATGTGTTTGAGCTGGGAGCGTGTGATCATGTACCTGAACCACCTGCCAGTGCTTGTGGCCCAGTAAAGTGCTGAGACCCTGAGAGAGAGGGCTGCTGCTGTCCCGAGACGGGCTCTTATCCGACACACTGTGAGCCTGAGTCGGATCTCCACAGGTCAGATACAGACGATCCTCTCCGTGGAGCAACACCTGCTCCTGATTACTCTGATCACACACAGACACAAAACCTTCTCACTCACTGATATCTGACACGCATCATGTTGCATGTGCGTAAACAGCAAAACCACTCATGTGTGTGTTTCTCTCACTGTGCACGGATTGACGGTCAGCGCGCTCTTAATGAACTGAAACTGCAGGATGCCGGTCTGCTGGAGTTTCTCGTCTCCTTCCGCTCCGTCGGGAACAGGAGTCGCGTCTGTGCTGCTGATCACCCACAGATGATATCCCTCCACACCCCAGCTCTAAAACACATTCACACACGCGTTTATCAAAACTGACTTACATGGCATATGTGACCCTGGAGCACAAAAGCAGTGTTGAGTCGCTGGGGGATATTTGTAGCAATAGCCAACAATACATTGTATGGGTCAAAATTATCCATTTTTCTTTTATGCCAAAAATCATTAGGATATTAAGTAAAGATCATGTTCCATGAAGATATTTTGTAAATTTCTTACCGTAAAAATATATCAAAACTTAATTTTTCATTAGTAATATGCATTGCTAAGAACTTAATTTGGACAACTTTAAAGGCGATTTTCTCAATATTTAGATTTTTTTTGCACCCTCAGATTCCAGATTTTCAAATAGCTGTATCTCAGTCATATCCTAACAAACCATACATCAGTGGAAAGCTTATTTGCTCAGCTTTCAGATGATGTATAAATGACTGGTTTTGTGCTACAGGGTCACATATATATGTTTGATAATTTCTTGCATCCCCTGGAAATTGAACCCATTATCTTTGCATTTCTTGCCGCCATGATTTCGTGTTTGACCGATATTGATTTTTTTGATGGCCGATGATCTTAGAAAGCAGGGTGGCTGATGGCATATATATATATGTGTGTGTGTGTGTGTGTATATGTGATATCACACTTTTAATATAGTTATAGTAAAAACACTGCATAACTGCTGCAATAAAATATATATTTATTTAACATAATATTTATACTTTGAATAATTTGATAGTAAATATGAAAAATATTTACATTTCGTCATTTAGCAGACACTTTTATCTAAATATGATGATATATCGGCCTTGGCAACATATTGGTTGACCACTACCATGTTATTATCATTAACTAAAACCAGGAAGAATTTTTTTTATTTTAAATATTTTATTTCAACTACTTCCAACATTTCTCATTTTTGTTTAGTTTAAGTTAAACTACCAGAATAACAATAACTTCTAAAACTTAATAAAAACTATACAGATGACATTGACTAAAACTTAAAAAATGTAAATGAAAAGACGAATATAAAATCTAATTCAAAATATGAACAAAAACTAAAATAATATACAAATGATCCTAAAATAAGCTTGATACAGTACAATAAACATGCAGAATCAAGAAAAAAAGTGCTGATTTTGAATCTTCCATATAATTGTTTTGGCTATAAGTCTGTGATTACGTGACATTAACTAACTGCAGGATTCTACTGTACATTTCTGCCATATGGACATCAACTTGAGATAGTCACCACTGATAAGCTACTACTAAATTTAATGTAGACACTTTAATTTTCTGTAAAGCTGCTTTGCAATGATTTGCATCGTGAAAAGCGCTAAACAAATAAACTTGAATTGAACTGTGAATAAAAGACGATGTTTGCACACTCACCATAGAGCTGATCTTCAGAGGCTCTTTCTTAGTGCCGTCTGAGCGATAGCTGCATCAGGAAAACACAGAGAAAACAAAGAAAAACAAGCTGAAACGTCAACATTGAAAACTCATCATTAGTGCGGTCTCTGCTGGAGTGAACGTTCTGCTTAAGGAGTTTGACAAACGTATTGCTGACGCAGTAAAGCAGCGGCGTGAGTGTGTTTGTGCGACTCACGCGAAGTCCTCCCCGAGTGTGCAGATGAGATGCGCTCCAAACACACTCCACAGAGACAGACCGCCACAGTCCCACGTCACCATGACAACGCTGCAGTCCGGAGACCAGCGGATCATCTTCACAGCACCCGTCTTATTCCAGATATCTGCGACCAGAGCAGAGACAACAACACGCAGACAGACTGAATCATGGGAAATCTTCTGGGAGTTTCTTTGTGTTTTTCCCCAACATCTTTATTACCAATGAACACAGACAAAATATACAAAAGTATGCTAACTGAACCCAACAACAAAAACACATTCAAAGAATAAAAAAACTGCTACAATATTATACACACAAACACACTTAAAGAAAAACATAAAATATATATAAAATGTAACAGAAAATTATATATATATATATATATACACACATACATACAGTATATATTTTTTTCTTTAAATGTACTTTGCTGTTAATATATTAGTGCTGTCAAACGATTAATCGCATTCAAAATAAAAGTTTTTGTTTACATAATATGTGTGTACAGTGTATATTTATTATGCATATATAAATACACAAACATACAGCATATATTTTGAAAGTATTTACATGTATTTACATGTCTATATTTATATTCATATAATTTATATTATAAATACATTTATTTAATATATAAACATAAAATTTTTCTGAAATATATACATGCATGTGTTTGTATTTATATACATAATAAATATACACAGTACACACACATATAATGTAAACAAAAACTTTTTTTTAAATCGTGATTAATTGTTTGACAGCACTAAAATATATAAAACTGAACTAAAAGCAAATATAAAACTCAAATTAAAATAAATTAAACAAAAATGTTGTTGTGTAAATTAAATTGGAAATAAATAAACTAAACCTGAACTAAAACGGAAAGTAGTACTGAAATAAAAATAAATGAAAAAAAAATTGTAAAAAAAAAAAAATTAAGCATATACCAATAAATTACAGAAAAATGCTAATCCAAAATATTAATAAATACTATAATACTATAATAAATAACACTGCACTGAATATTCATCAACAAAATGTAAAATAAAAGTTACTAAATTGTTTAGGTATTGTAAATTACTGCTTCTTTAATACAATGCCATGCCAGTCACCATGGATATTTTCATGGCTAGTAAAATATGAAAAAGAAAAAGAAAAAATTATAATAATTCTTCATCACTTTTTAACAAAATCTAAAAACACTTAATAAAAATCAACAGAAGTTCTAAAAGAGTTAAAGTAATCTGGATTTTAGGAATTTAATCCTAAAACATGGCAGTATAACGGTTTCAGCCTTAGACATCATATCTACAGACCATTCAAACTGTCTGATAGATGATACAGAGAAAAATAAGACATGATATCTATATAAAAGCACTAGCTGGAATCTAATGGACTTCTTTGTTACGGAGGTTTATATCAGTTCATCAGGTAAAAATCTAAAAAAACAAGAATCTAGTCACTGATTTGACTCATCAGATGTGCGTCAGATGCTCATGTTCCCACAGCAGCCATCAGGAGGCATCAGAGGACCAGAACCCAACACTCAATCAGAGAGGATTGTGGGTCTGAGGTTAAACATACGAACAGTAAATAAAAGGATCATCCTGTGTGCAACAAAGGCTGCGTGGCTTCTGTGGATTGTGGGTTGGACTGACGCCTCTTCCTGTGGTTTAACTAGTGTTTGAAGTGTACACATCATGAGTGAGTGTGTGTCTCACCTGGGTAGTGTTTCGGGGTTAACTCCAGTTTATGAGAGAGCTGCATCGATCCTGTAGAGCTGTCAATCATGTACACCAACACTGACCCGCTGCAACGCACACACACAATAAACAGGGTTCATACACTTCGGACTGGATAAAAAGTTTGAGAATAACTACACAAAAATACTACAATATATACACTACTGTTCAAAAGTTTGGGGTTCTATCTATTTTTTGGGTAAAGAAATGACTACTTTTATTCATTAAGGACGCATTAAATTGATCAAAAGTGCCAGTACAGACATTTATAATGTTCTAAAAGATTTCTATTTCAAATAAATGCTGTTCTTTTGAACTTTCTTACTATAGATACTCTACTGTTCAAAAGTTTGGGGTTCTATCTATTTTTTGGGTAAAGAAATGACTACTTTTATTCATTAAGGACGCATTAAATTGATCAAAAGTGCCAGTACAGACATTTATAATGTTCTAAAAGATTTCTATTTCAAATAAATGCTGTTCTTTTGAACTTTGTTCATCTGTGAATCCTGAAAAATAAAATGTATCACAGTTTCCACAAACATATTGTGCTGCACAAGTGTTTTCAGCATTGATAATAATCAGAAATGTTTCTCGAGCAGCAGATCAGCATATTATACTGATTTCTGAAGATCATGTGACACTGAAGACTGGAGTAATGATGCTCAAAATACAGCTGCGCATCACAGAAATACATTACAGTTTAACAGAGATTCACATAGAAAACAGCTGTTTTACATTCTAATAATATTTCACATTTTTACGGGTTTTTTTGATCAAACACACACAGCTTTGTAGAGAAGAGACTTCCTTCAAAAACAACAGCCACAAATATAAAGACACAAACACAACTGACATAAATACAACGCTTTGAAACAATAACTGCACTTCACAATCTACACACAAATGACACGCATCACAGCTGACACACACACACACACACACACACACACACACACACACACACACACCTTGCGCATCCGAAAGCCATGAGTCTGTATTTGTTGTTGACGGCGACACACGTGCCATCAGAGACGTCTGCGGCCCAAACGCCCTGCAGCTGCTGCACAGAAACACAATATTAGCACATCAACACTAACATTACGCAAACGAACCGCGTGTCGCATTCTCAGTGCTGCCACAAGAGGCGCTACAGCAGACATGAGTGAAGATCATGTGACACTGAAGACTGGAGGAATGATGCTGAAAATACAGCTGTGCATCACAGAAATATATTACAGTTTAACAGGATTCACATAAGAAAACAGCTGTTTTACATTCTATTAATATTCACATTTTTACGGGGTTTTTTGATCAAACACACACAGCTTTGTAGAGAAGAGACTTCCTTCAAAAACAACAGCCACAAATATAAAGACACAAACACAACTGACATAAATACAACGCTTTGAAACAATAACTGCACTTCACAATCTACACACAAATGACACGCATCACAGCTGACACACACACACACACACACACACACACCTCGCGCATCCGAAAGCCATGAGTCTGTATTTGTTGTTGACGGCGACACACGTGCCATCAGAGACGTCTGCGGCCCAAACGCCCTGCAGCTGCTGCACAGAAACACAATATTAGCACATCAACACTAACATTACGCAAAACGAACCGCGTGTCGCATTCTCAGTGCTGCCACAAGAGGCGCTACAGCAGACATGAGTGAACTCTTCTTCTACGCTCAGATCAACTACAGCGTCTTACGGAATAGTTAAAAATGGCTGACATGTTTATACAGCAGCAGCAGCTAGCTGAATAATACTTGTTTAATTATACTCTCTCTTACGTCTGTGGCGAGTCTGTTTGCGGTTGGCGTGATGAATCCGAGTCGCCCGTCATCAAACACCACTGCAAATCCGTCCAGTGTAGCGCAGTACTCCATCTCCCGAATGTGAACACCGTCCAGATCCAGACACGGCCCTCCTAACGCAAACACACAGACACGTCACGCCAGACAAACACACGGGAACAGACGCGTGTTAATCAGTCGGGAGCGTCTCTGGAGAGTGATTAAGAAGCACGTCTGACCTCTGGAGGACTGCAGGTCGAGGGAGAACGGGATGGTGCACAGGTTCACTGCTCTCCGGCCGTTACTCACACTGTCCCAGTGCAGCATGTGCAGATAACCGTCTGCCGTCGCCACTAACAGATCCTCCTGCAGCGTCTGCAGACTGACACACACACACACAAATCAGTCCACTGACTAGATCACCAACACACTTCACATTTACATACATACATATCCCACATAACAGTGCATTAATGTAAACTCTAAAATAAGACAAATCAGGAATGATAAGGCGAAAGCAACAAACGAAAACTCTCTCTGCTTCTTCGTCTCAATTCAAGCTCTGCTCACTCCAGACCAGGATTCTTATTGTTAACTAAAACTATAAAATTATTTTGTTTCCTGAAATAAAACTGAAATAAGATCAAATCTAAATATTAAATACAAACTAAATGATAATTAGAAATGTTGTACTGGCAATAAACTGAAGTTTAGGATTAGCATTAAAATTGAAATTCAATACTGAAATTACAAGTCAATAAAAACTAAAACTAAACTAAAAATAAAACTGAAATAAAAATGGAAACCCTTAATATTAAATAATATAAATTCTAAAAAAAAAATCTAAAAGTAAATCCTAACTCAAAATATTAATAAATACTATAATAGCATATACACAAAATGCTGAAATAATATATATATATTCTCTGTGTGTATGTGCTGTACATGTGGAAGAATTGACAATAAAGCAGACTTGAACTTGAACTTGAACTTGATATATATAAAATTAAAAAATGTTTACACACAATTAAACTAAATAAAAAAAAATCACTCACAAAATTACTTAACTAAAATTTAAATAGATTAAATATTATTTGAATGAAAAATGTATAATTAATAACTTAAACAGTACATATCGATGATATTAAAATAACACTGGACACACACATATGCATAGAGATGTTGTATAATATATTACATAGATATATAGACATGTATTTTGTTCCCTGGATTGATTGACTGATCATGTGACACTTTGTACAGTCTTCAACTTCTTCAACTGAAGCTCAAGATGCTCTTTGGCTCATTCCGAGTGTGTGTGTGTGTGTGTGTGTGTTTCTGTACCAGCTGATTGGAGCCTCCAGGTCGACGGGTTTCTTCATCTCTAGGGTCAGAGCTGGAGCGCACTGTTCCTCTTTGTAACCCGGAGTCACCTTAACACGAGCGCCCCTAAAAACACACACACACACACACACACACACACACACACACACACACACAGAAAGTGAGAGAGAGAAGAACAACATAATCCGTTTAGTCAGAGCTCATAATGCTTCACTACTCACACCATTATAAACACACATAAACATTCCCAGCTCACTCTTATTGACATGATTACAGGAAACCTGCAAACAACTCGAGCACATCGACACACAGAGACACAGACAGAATGTGTGTCAGACACGTCCTGACATGACAAACACTGACCTGAACGCTGAGATCTGAGGAACAGCAGCTGTCAGCAGTGTGTGTGTGTCTGTGTGTCTGTGTTTTGGAATTTCAAAGAGTCTAATTTGAGGTCAGTATGTGTGTGTCACTAAACTGCTGTGGGCTACAGGTGTGTGTGTGTGTGTGTGTGCCTTTGCAGGAAATTCAACAAATGCATGTTCTACTAGAGAAACATCACGAGCTCATTGTTCTGGAAAAGAAAAAACATTTCCAGAGTCTGATTCTGTCGTTCAAACATCACGATGCATCATGATTTTGTTCTTGGCAGCCATGTGGAATTCTGAAAAAAACATACATGATGGCCGCTGTTCTTCTCCTGAGCACCAAACATCAAATCAGTGTTTGTCAAGAGGAACATCAACAGGAGAAAGAACAATGACAGTATGACTGAGGAACAGGAACAGGAAGTGATGCTGGGGCGTGTGGATCTGCTGAAGCTAAAAGAGGAAAGGTCAAGGGTCACTCACTTGGGATAGACAGGCTCGTACAGGTACTTCTCATCCGAGCCTCTGATGTCGAACAGCAGGATGTAACCATTCGCAGCCTGGAGAGAGAGAGAGAGAGAGAGAGAGAGAGAGAGAGCATTTCAACTAAAAGCATTTCTTACATGTACTGTTGTGCAATTTTATTTTATTTTATTTATAAAAATTTTTTAAACAATGTCTTCCCCCCCCCCCACCACAAAAAACAGGAAAAATATTAAAGTACACATGTACTTATTTATTTTACAGATCTGTACTTGTTTTGTTTATGTATTATATAATTGTTTATTCCTTATTCATGTAATGGACAATGCTTTGGCAATACTGTGCAAGTCATGCCAATAAAGCTCAT